GTGCCAGATGGGCCTCCGCCCGCCGAGGCCGCCTGCGAAGGGGCTTGGGATATTGTGGCCAAGTAGTTTTTCATTTTATAAAGGATGTATTTTACTCTCTTTCAGGAGAGTTGTGGTGCCCTCTGGGTCAATATTTGTTCTTTAGTTTCAACATCTTTAGAAGCATTAAAAGCCTCCCTGTTAAATATTCCCCAGAAACGCGACCCTGGTCAGGGCGGGCAGCGTGTCGGCGGCCCCGGGGGCGCCTGCTTTGTGGCGCTTCGCCCAAACCGCTGCGAGGCGCACCTACCAGTCGTTGATGGTGCAGTTTTATTCCAGAGCCGTAGGAGAATATTTTGTTTTCAAAACAGAAAAGGCAGTTGGCTGAATAGTGGACAAGACGGGAGGCAAACACCACTCGATGACCAGCGGCTAGTGGTCAGTTAAGTCTCAGTGCTGTGACTAGTTATGCTGTTTTGACTCCGTGATGGCACAGTTAACCCACCACAGTTTTCTCGAGTTCCTCTAATCCGATCAAAGTAGCCAGAAGATGCAACTTTTGACGAAATGAAAATTAAAGATATGACAGAGAAATACCTTTTCGTATAGCGTTCCTTCCATACAATGCCAGTTGTGTCTCCGTGGCCCAAATTGGAAAGAACTGAGATGAGTTTGGACCATTTTGTTGATACAAACTAAGAGAGGGTGGGGGAAGAGAAGGTTGGCTGCCAAACACAGAAATAAGGAGTTGATGGTCCTCCAACCCGCCCTTTACAGGACAAAGCATTGGGGTTACTTCTGAGCCCCCTGAGAAGGCAACTGAGTTTTTCTAAGGGGACTAAAGTTTTGCCATCCTGGAGCTGCCTTTTGGGATGCTGATCTTTAGCTGGTTATTAAGAAACAAAGACTCAGAAAAGAACCTTTGACTCTCCTCCTTTCATGCCCAAGAGACTGAGATAGAAAAATCTGCTTCGGGAAGGGAATCCTAGGATGTCACCTTAGCCTAATTTGAATTAAGCATGGTAAATAGAAGGGCTTCAGGCAGGGGCCTGCTAGCCAGATCTCCCTGTCTTTGTTGTTTCTGAGTCGCCTTGGGGGTCTTTCCTTCCACCTATGTTCCTTCTTCCTCAACTACCTAGAAATCACCCATTCTCACTTTTGAAATCTCAGACCCCTATCCCCTATCCAGAATGTCATATATACCCAATGTTGCCTCATTGTCTTTGGCATTTTCATGCTTATTTGAATTCTTTGTGAGCATGTATTAAAATTTTGATTTTTTTTCTTGTTAATCTGTCTCTGTTAATTTGATTATTAGTTCAACTAAAAGAACTTAGAAGGTAGGAGGAAAAGTATTATTTTTTAGCCCCCACACTGTAACTCTTTGGACATCTACCTGCCTGTTCAGCTTCCACTTCGCACCTTCACCTCCACACCTGCTCCCATTTGAGCCTCTGGTTTCTCTGGAAAGTCAACGATGATGCATTGAACTCCTTACTGCCCCAGAGCTAGGACAGCTCTGTTTGTGGTCAACTGGTTAACTAGAAGATCTTCTGGTTAGGCCAGTTTTATCACAGGAGGTGTAATCCCAACCAACTCAGATGAGGTCTGCTGCAGAGCCACTCCTGCAGGGACCGTGCATGTGGTCATACGTGTGTTAGTATCTATGCACTGTAGGTGGTAAAGGACTTTATGGTGTCTCTCAATCTCCGATCCAACGCTTGGATCCCCTCTGACATTCCAGACTAGAGATCGCCCAGGTTCTCCTCCAACACCTTCATTGATGGAGAGCTCCAGGCTGAGCCCACCTGCCTTTGGACAGTTATTATGCTAGAAAAGTTCACCTAATATCCCCAGCCCTTTCAACCATTCTCCTAGATCATATTCTGGCGGTCCTTGCACACACTGTATATTGAATAAGTGTAGTGGATTTCAATGCATTTTTATAGTGGTTGTTTTTACAGCAACACATTTTCATTTATTTGTTAGATGCTTAAAGGTCAGTGTAAATGTTCCCCCTCCTACTATCTCTCTCTTTTAATGATAAATCATGAACCTTGGTGTCCCAGACATCAGCAAAGAAAAACAGTTTATTTTGGCATTTTCTCTGGAATTTCTTCATGATCACAATACATGGATACAGGTCAACAGGTCAACTGATGTTTTTAACTTTAGTGCTTTGAAATTTATCTATGTAAAATAAAATTTCAAACATGTATATATAGATAAAATATCAACAGAAAAATGTTCACAGTGATTACCTCTGTGTGATAGAGGTAGGGCCATATAAACGTGTGCGTTTTTTTGTTTGTTTCTTTTAATTTGGACCTTTTGTAGTTTCCAACTACATTGAAAACTTTTAATCAGAATATAAAACAGATATTCTCTTTGCAAACACTTGTTTTTCTAGATGCAAAATTATGTTTTCAATTATATTTTATGAATTTCATATAATATACACAAACGTTCATTTTCTTGCCTTACTTGAGTGACAGACCATGTTTCATTCATCTTGGTATCCACCCACACCAGCTTTCTCATGGGATTCATCAAAAGACTTGCACATAGTAGGTGCTCAATCAATAGATATTGATTTAATTTTTTTTATATTGAAATTAATCATTTTCAGTACGCTTCATAAAATATTTATTTAAAAAAACTGGTCAGAGGTCATTCTTTCTAAAATATAATTTCTCAGGACTTAGTCCTTGTACAGAAGTGGCTAGCCATCCTACTACCAAAAAAATTGCACTCTCCTTCCATAATGCAGAATTTTTGGGAAGAGGCTGATCTGCCAAAGGGCACCTCCCCACTCCTTGCATCTCTATAAGGCCGTAGGCCTAAGTGTTAGTCACTGGAAGGTGGACTAGAGTGCTGTGTGTCACACCCACGCAGGGCTTGTGAAAGCTGCCATCCAATTGTCCTGGCTCTCTCCTTCCTCAGCTGCCCACTGGTGGAGCCTCCATCAGCCTGGAACCCCCAGCAGTGACTAACTTTATGTGAGAAACTTTCACTGGATTAAGCTGCTGAGATTTGGGGGTTACCTGTAGTAACAGATTTAGTGTTACCTTAACTAATGCATCAACAAACAAGTGACTAACTCCTAGGGAATATTGAAAAATGTTTTACCATAATTGAAAGAAGATCTGATACAAGCAATGTATGTCCTTACCATGATAAAAATTAAGCATTTCCAACCAGCTCCCTTTTGTACAAACTGACATTTACATCCACATCCTGAGAGAGAAGAAAAGAAAAATGGAAAAAGAAAAAAATGGGTAGCATTTATCTTCTGACTGCATTTAAAAGATAACAAATTAATTGGTGGAAAAATGGAAAGATTATTCAGCCAACATGTTCAGGTACAAAAAGTCAAAAGAATTTTTTCAGTAAGGTTTTTTTCTAAGTGGTCTCTTTGGTAATTTAAAAACAAAAAAACATATTTAAAATTTTTGTTTTTTCAGTGCCTAGGACTGAACAGCCAGTAAGAGACACAGAGATCTTGTCAGCACAGGCCAGAGACTGCAAGGACTGCTTCGAGGAGGGAAAGCAGGGGCGACGATGGGACTCAGTCAAGGACAGGAGGGAGGAAGAAGGGTATTTGTGTGCACTAAAAGGCAGGCTTCCAGTATTTCTCTTTAAAACAATCTTTGTCTTTATAAAATGTTCTTCAGTGCTCAAAGTAGTCACCAGTGAGCCCGTTTTCTCACTAGCTTTTTCTAACTGATCAATGGTTGCCTGGAATCGTGTCTCACATTTGTCCCTCCCTTTGTAATTCCCAAGCAACCTTACCCATAGCCAATGCAAATAGCCTTAAAAACTTTATTTATGAATGAACGAATTTCTTTATTGTGGTGGATCTTTTTCTTTTCTGTGTAATAAGATTATTATCACTCTAAAGAGGTAAATTTTCAGTTTGGAGGAATATGTGAAAACAATGGGGTTGCTGTTTTGAAGTAAATGCAAATGTGGGTGTAACAATAACTTTTAGGGTCACTATAACATGTTATGTGTGTTTCTGTTAAGAGAGTATGTGATATGAAGTTTGTAGATTTATTGAAATGTTTTAAAGACCTTGACTAAGGTTGAAATCAGCATTTAAACATTTAAGGAAAATTGGTTCATGAAACGTGTAGTTTGACTTATGAGTTGCATAATAGTGTTTAAATATTTGGGAAAATGTGCTTAATTGATGTAAAAGCTTAATAAATTGAACATTAAACAAAACTAAGTAGTGGTAAGTGTACTTTCCAGGCCAGAAGTCCCCGAGACATTAAAGATCCTAGCAACAGACAAGACAGATTTTATCCGGTAGATTTAACAGGCTGTACCTTGGAGCAGAAATGCATGAGGTCTGGCTATTACTATTGAAAACAAAACCCAAACTAATACGCTTAGCAGGAAAACTCAGTTAGCAGCTGCATGGGTTGCTTTTTGTGATTATGTCTCTTGATAAGGATTATTATTTACATTGTGGCTTGATTAGGCTTGGATCACAGGCAAATGTTTTACCAGGTTCACCTCTCTAGTAATGAGCCCAAGGTTTGTTCTTTTAAAACACTTCGGAAGTCCAGCTTTCGAACATGAGGGGAATTGAGAAAAAGCAGGCCATGCAACCTGGATAGTCAAAGGGTTTTTCAGAAGAGGAAAAATTAATATTCCACTTTATGTTGTGTTGATGTTAAGCCCTCCCATCTCCCCCAGGGTTCATAAAGTTGCTGTGTAAACAGACACATCCAAGGTTAAGTATTTTCACTTCCTACTGCTGTCTTGAAAAAATGATTCAAGCTGTGAGTTGATGCTAATGTAATATAATTCAGGGATATGTCGATGATGCTTCCTAGCTGCAGAATCCCAAGTGCAGTTATGCCTGTGGAACTGTCCCTTCGACTTGCCACTCGCCTGGCTGATCTAAGATGCTCGGAGGATTCTCTGAGGACTTACAAGCTAATGAAGCTTAGGGATTTCGTGTCCTGAAGAGCTCTGTAATCCTGTGCTGCCCGAATCCCACTCTAAGCCAGGACCTTCTGCCACATCCCAAGATCACAGGCAGTTTGAAAGCTCTGCCAAGCAACCCTTCTGCTTGACCTTTGGGGTTCCTACGAGGTGCCACTCAGGGTCTCCTAAGTAACTTGACCGGGGTGTAGCTCTTTCTGAGCCCTCTGCCCCAGGTGGTGCTCAGCTCTTCCTTTCTGAGCAGCAGCCACAGAGCCAGCCACGCCATGGGTGAGATCAGCCCAGAAGCCGTGGAGAGGTACCTGGAGGACAACCCCGGGTTTGCCAAGGAGTACTTCGACAAAAAGCTGCGGACAGCGGCGCTGGGAGGAGCCTCCGAGCACAGCGGGGTGCAGGGCCCCGCCAGCAGGCCCTTCGACGGGCTGTCCCCAAAGGAGGAGGCGGCCCTGTGCCTGGAACTGCTCCAGGCTGTGCAGGAGGAGGCGGGCAGCCCCGAACCCGCAGCGCACTTGGCCCTCCAGAGCCTGGCGCAGCTGCTGCGGGCAGACCGCTGCAGCCTGTTCCTGTGCCGGTCCCGCAACGGCACGCCCGAGGTGGCCTCCAGGCTGCTCGATGTCACCCCGACCTCCAAGTTTGAGGACAACCTGGTGGTTCCTGACAGAGAAGTTGTGTTTCCTTTGGACATCGGGATAGTGGGCTGGGTTGCTCACACGAAGAAAGCCCTTAATGTCCCAGACGTGAAAAAGGTAGGTGGCCTTGTGACAGTGGGGCAGAGATGGGGACTTGGCCGGGTCCTGGAGGGTCAATGGGAAGGAGAGCTGGGGTCCAGGGGGCCATCCTTGTGGCATTGGTTTGGCTCTAATCTGGGGAGTGGGGTCAGCCAGGAAGAGGACCACCCAGGTGCAGGGCTGCCACATTTAGCAAATAAAAAATACCAGATGCTTAGCCCTGGCGGGGCCCATGAGTGGTTAGAGCATGGCCCACACACCAAGGATCGTGGGTTCGATTCCCGGTCAAGGACACCTGCCTGGGTCGTAGGTTCGATCCCCACCCCCAATTGGGGCCCGTGCAGGAAGCAACCAATTGATGTCTCTCTCTCTCTCTCTCTCTCTCTCCCCCTTCCTTCCCCCACCCATTGCACTCTCTCTAAAAAAATTAATGGAAAAAATATCCTCAGGCTAGGATTAAAAAACAAGATGCCTAGTTCAGTCTGAATTTCAGATAAAAAATAAATAATTTTTTTGTGTAAATTTGGCATTTTATCAGGCAACTTACCTGAGCCAGGTACAGTCCACACCTCCTGGCTTGCACCCCCCCATACCTCTCCCATGCTCCGGGCGTGGTTCCTCCGAACACCCCGCAAGGCAGGCTGCTCCTGGGGGGCTCAGCCAACAGCCAGGCGCCAGGACTCCTGAGCCGATGCCCAGGCCTCTCACCCACTTCTTTGGGATGGATTGGCTCATAAATGGATTCTTTCACCTATAGACCAAATACGCAAAAAGAAAAATAATACCATCTGAAAGTCCAGGTTGAGATCATTAAAAATGTGAAGGTAGGTGATGATTAAGTGCCACTGGCCACCCCAAACCCCCATAACTCGGGTCTATCAAGAATGAATTCCAGTCTGGTAGACGGGACATTTGGACCCTCCTAAGACCAGTATTGCATAAATGGTTACCTTCTTTTAAAAAACAGAACATTTCACTCCTTACCATCGCAATGCTTGTTCATTTAAGGAAAATTATAAACTAAAAAGGAGGAAATGCGAACCACCCATAACCCCTCCACTCGGCAATAACCATAGGCAACAGCCTGCAGTTTCTCCGGGCACCCCGCTTGTTTTGATTTGCTGTTATCGAAAGGGGAGAGGGGGTGACGCTGGCCCAGGGTTGACAGGGCAGCCGCCCTGGGCTTGCTTTCCGTGTGGAGGTTTATTGCCGGCTTGTGAAGGCGGCAGCTGGAGGCCGGAGGCTAATCTCCCTCCTGCCTCCTCAAGCTGATTAGGGGACAGGCCCCCCGGATCCAGAAGTGGGGAGCTGTCACACATTAGCAACACTCCGCAAACAACCCCAGGATGCTCTCGGGCGCAAGGGTTGCCGCTGGGCGCACGGAGCCCTGGGCCCTTTCCCAGCCCTCCCTCCGGGGCTCACTGCGGCCGCTTAGGTGCCTAGCCCGAGGCGTGGCAACGGCAAGGCCCTCTGGTCCGCTTAGGAGCCCCCCCAGGGTTTTCCCATGGACCGTGCTTTCGGCAGTCTCCCACTGAGGCCATCTCCAAAATGACCAGGACATCAAAGTCAAGATTTTTTTCTGAAAGGTTTTTTGTTTGTTTGTTTGTTTGTTTTTTAAGAAGAGATGGATAAAATGAATTCTGCTGTAATACTTTACTAGTGAGTCCAGTTCTCCATGTTGAGTAGAAAATGGTAGAATGGAGCTGCTGAAAGATCAGGTGGCCCTGGTTGCTGCTGTCCATGGTGAGCACCCTGCGTGGACAGGGCATTAATGGAGGGGGGTGTCTTGTCTGTCCGCTCTCCCTTTTCCTGAGGACTCCTGGCTGTTATAGGGGGGACAGAGATGTATGTGGAAGACAGACACCCTCCTGAGCTCAGGGGAGAGTGTTCTTCATTTTTATTTTTTTCTCCAAGAGTGGTGTTTTCAACTTTTGATGCACATTAAAATCAAATTGGGGTCTCTTTAAGAATACTGATGTCTGAGACTCTCAGTAGACCAATTGCATAGACTCTCGGTGGTTGAGATGCAGGCACTAGTAGTTTTAAAAAGCCCCCAGGTGGTTCTAATATGCAGCCACCGATGAAAGCACTTGTCTCTTGGGTGAGCAGATGCAAGAGGAGGAAGTGAATTTCAAGTCAGCTGTGGAATAGGAGATGGAAAGGGCTCTTGGAGTCGTCAGTCCGACTCTGTCCTTGGGCAGACAGGAGGTTGGGGTCACGGCAGCTGTGTCTCTCCCAGAGTCCGTGGTCTGGTCAGTGGACAAAACGGGCGGAAAGAGAATCGAGGCCTCGCTCTGTCCAGTGCCTCTTCCACCCTCGCCAAGAAACGTCTTTGCCCTTTTCTTTCTTTCTTTCTTTCTTTCTTTCTTTCTTTCTTTCTTTCTTTCTTTCTTTCTTTCTTTCTTTCTTTCTTTCTTTCTTTCTTTCTTTC